TTAAAAGTTGCAGTGACACAGAATGATTACATGTGTAAAATAAGACTGCTAGTACGCTAGTTTATTTTTACACAGGCACAAGTATGTTATGTTCCTAGTTGGGGGTTTAAAACACACAAAGTCTAAATAGTATGAATCTTAAAAAGCAGACAGCAAGACAAATGAAACAAGGAAAACTATACTTACGACTTTACTGTAAAGTGTGTTCATGAATTCATTCATTCAGTCATGCATTGCTCCACCACTCAAATCTATCATTGTTAAAAATCGGAGTTTTCAGATAGATAAATGTATTTAAAGGTTAGTGCAGACTCGCACAATAATTTTGTGGGTTGTTTTTGTTCTGGATTATTTGAAAAAGTATCGCAAACAACAGACCGAGAGGATCGTTGTTAATGGGAGTCTTGTTGCCGCTGTGAAAAGAAGTAAATGCACTTCATCTCATTTATGGACAGCAGGAAAAAGCTCCCTGAAATACAAGCTTATAATGTCCCAGCAAGAATAAATCTGTGTAATTGCATCTCTTCTGGCCACATTTCCTTCATCCTTTAATCAGAGCTGGAGAGGAAGAGGGAGGCGAAGCAGAGGGAGCGGGAGGCCAGAGAGAGGGAGGCTCGCAAACGGGAAAAGGCAGAGGAGAAGGAGAAGAGGAGGAAAGAGTACAATGCTCAGAAGGCAGCACTGGCTGCACAAGAGCAACAGAAGAAGAAAAGTGAGGAGAAGAAGAAGAAGAACGGACAGGCAGCAGGTGGTAAATCTATTGAAATAGAAAGTTTGAAGACTTTATTCAGCTTGTAACAGGCCTTTTCTTTTTTCCTTTTTCTTTGAAATGCACAAATCACTCAAAGTGGTCAGAAAATCTTTTATTTCTGGTTTGACGAGTCACTCTGATATCAAACATGTGTTTCGTTACAGCAGATAAAAAGGTCGCTGTGGAGTCTAAGCCTAAACCTCGCCGTTCTGTCATTGGTCTGATCTTCAAGCTCCTCCTCCTGCTGCTCGTGGGATTGGCCGGAGTCGCCGCTGTCTGTCGCCTGACTGACCTGCAAAAGGAAGCTTTCTGTCTGCCGATAAACGCCGCAGTGGACGACGGCCTATCCTGGGCCAAAGAGCAGCAGATTGTGCTCAGACAGCTGGTGCAGAATCTGTCGACTGCAGCGAAAGAGTTTCTCGAATCCACACAAACATCTAAGAACTAAATACT